CCGGGTGCTGCACGGTGGCCAGTGGGCCAAGCCATATGAACACAGCGGGCCCCTCACCATGCGGTTTCCAAACCGCCAAGGGATGCTCCAAAGACCCCTGGGAACGTGACGCCATAAGAAGCAGAGGAAAGAGTTGACCACATGTTGACCCATCTTGATCACCTTGAGCCTCAATGCATGTGACTCCAGCTGAATCCAGTTGCAGCACCCGCCCTCCAAATGCTTCCAGGCTATTGCCTTTTGAGAACCTCCTTTTCATGCGCCTGTAAAAATAACAAAGTCCAAACAGGGGTCTCCCAAAAGAAGGATCCATCCACAAAAACGGTCAGTTTCAGGAGGCAAATACCGTGACAGGTGGGTTCGGATTCTCCTGCGATGTTTCAGACTTTTGCCATCCGTTGGCAATTGTAAAACAAAGCATTTGCTGCTTGCCAAGGACGACCCCCGCCCGAATCCTACCCCCCACCCTCCAAAAAACAGAAGCGCTACACACACGCACACACCCTGCATGCTGAAATTATCCAACTGGTATGCAAGTAAGATTGGCTACGGATAGGGCAAGGACGTAAGGCAACAATGCCTGTGAGACGTGACCTTTGCTCCACGTAAAGGCGCCGGCCTTTTGGTGCAGGGCGACGGCCTGGTGGGGATCGAAAAAGTAGAAGTGCATAGCCCTCGGGAAGACAAACATGAGCCGTGCGCTAGGGGCACGGAAGGGATCCAAGCGAACCTCCGAGCAGTGACACCATGTGCGTCAGCCGGTGCACACCAAAGCAACGCAACCGAGTGAATCCTCCTAATAGCAGCTTGGAAGCAGGGGATAGCTGTGGGATTCAATGGGCCTGAATTTTGCGAACCCCTGCCATCTGCCAGCCACGCCCGGCCCCGAACTTCGGACTCGGCACGTGCCCAGGTCGCCGAAGAGAATACTGCAGAGCCTGACAGGGTACCCTGGCGTGCACGCGCCACGGCAATTTTTCAACCCTGCCGCCCTCTCTGCGAAACAGCAAGACATATCTCAAGCGAAGCTCTGAATCCGGAGGATCCAGATGAACGACGCGTGAGCCATTCAAAAGCAAACAAAAAAGTAGATGGGGTAAGCTCCCTGTCAGTCATCCCTCTTCAACTGGTCCGCACATATGTTCCTGTTTCTTTGAGCTTCTTCTCCCAAAAGCCCAGGCACCCTCGCGGAGTCATGCGGCGCCTCAGGAAGGCCCAGCTGTTGCGGCCTACGAGCACTGCCTCTCCGGGCGCCGTGGTCTCCTCCAGGGGAATCAAGATTCTGACGCGACTGGTCCACGGGTGCCCTGCATCCCGGGTAAAACTTCATACCAGACGCTCCTGGCTCGGAATCTCCTTCGGAGATCCCTCCGAAGGAGAAAACTTTACACAACTCTGAACAAGGGTGCCCTCGAAAAAGAAATGACTGCTCCATGTAATCCATCCATCCACGACACACAAAGATGAAATTGGAAAATGCAATGTCAAGGGTCGCCCCCCCCGCCCAATTGCATGTTTAAAGGAGGGGGGATTCTATGTATGTATCAGATAAACCTAGAAGCTCTCCAAAAAAAGGGGCATCCCAAGCCATTCCTGAGCTTCATTGAGCCGGAGTTCCCATCACCTGGCCGTCCTTACACTCTTTGAGATCAAGATGCGAAAGTGGAGTTCCAGTGAAACCGCCACTTCAGGTCCAAAAAGGGAAAATGAGGCAGGGGTGCTTACATTGCCCACCGCAACAGTAGTCCCCCCCCAACCCACCCACCCACCCACCCACCCACCCACCAACCAACCAACCAACCAACCAACCAACCAACCCACTACCCAATCAACCAAACAATTACCCAGCCAAGTAACCAATTGTTCCAAAACCAACCAAATACCCAACATTACCCAACAAACAAACAAACAACCAACCAGCCAACCAACCAACCAACCAACCAACCAACCAACCAGCCAAGCAAGCAAGCCAGCCACCCAGCCAGCCAGCAAGCAAGCAACCAACTTACCACCAGCCAACCAACAAGCAACCAAGACAGCAACCAGCCAATAAACCAAGCAACCAATTCCGTAACCAAGCAATCAAGCAAGCAAACAAGCAAACAACGAAGCAACTAACTAACCAACCAACCAACCAGCCAACCAACCAACCAACCAACCAACCAACCAAGCAAACAAGCAAGAGAGCAAAATAGCAAAAGAGCAAAAGAGCAAAAGAGCAAAAGAGCAAAAGAGCAAAAGAGCAAGCAAGCAAGCAAGCAAGCAAGCAAGCAAGCAAGCAAGCAACCAAGCAAGTACCCAACAACCAAGCAACCAATTCCGCGACCAAGCAACCAAGCAATTGCCCAACAACCAAACAACCAACCAAGCAACCAACCAAGCAACCATTTCCGCGACCAAGCAACCAAGCAATTGCCCAACAACCAAGCAACCAAGCAACCGAGCAATCGAGCCAACCAACCAATTGGTCCTTCAGGGCCACGGCCGACCCTTTGAGCGGGTGGCTCTCGTAGTACTTGGACCTCACCTCCGGGCGCACCACGAGGTCCTCGGTCCTCTCCTTCCCATCCCGGGGGGGAATTGCAGGCCTGGGATTCTTGAAACTGCCACGACGAAATGCTTCCATTTGCTCAAGCCCCCTGTTTGTCTTTTTTTTCTTAACATCTCCCGTAGTGATTGATTCCTTTTAAAACTAACAGTGGAAAATAAAAAGATATTCTGAAACAAATGGAAGATTTGGGGTTCCAATGCACCCAGCTGTTGGAAGACCAGAAAATTGAGCCAGCGAAGCGGAACAAAAATCCTTCGTGCAACAGTGCTGGGTTCTGGCGGCTCGGCTTGGTCCTAATGAGTTTTCAGTGAATCGCATGTTCATAACAGGGCGTCCTTTGTTACTCTGCCCAGTGGTAAGATGAGAAAGGACCTGGGCCGGGCAGCCAGTTTCGGATGGCGCCCTGTCTCATGTTAGGATTTGTTTGTTTCCCTTCAACGAGGTGAGCACGGCATGCAAGTCGTGGTTGCATGCCAGATTGACGACTAAACCGGCACCCAGAGTGTCTTTCCAGGGCAGCCCTCCCGAAGCCCAAATGCCGCGGTTGTTTGCAGCGAGCCCGGAGAACTTGGAAACACCACCTTCCCACTCACTGCGGGGTAGAAGCTTTGATCATGGATCCCTAGTTTCCTCCAAAGGCAAGGCTTCTTAGGGCCTTTCGAGCAAGGGGTGGGGGCAGACTTTGTATGTCAGACATCCCGGTCCGGCGCAGTGGGAAGGTAGATGTTCCGCAGCTCGAATTTGATGAGATGCCCTCAGACCAGTGGCCATAGGGCAAAACGGGCACTCTTTATTTGTGTGTGCTTTTTGAGGAACCCCTTCAAGAAATAGTCTATCAGGGTCATTCCATGTCTCATTCCATTTCCCATTCGCACCAGCAAGACAAAACCTCGCTTGCTTTCTTCCCCCCTGACCAAAGTTTAAGAAACTTTTAGTGGAAAAATGGACACCCACTAGTTGGCATAGAGTTGTTAAAGTCCGATGACATCCCTTGGCAAAATGCGAAGAAACCATTCCCTGGCCTCCCCAGGGGCAGCTGCGATGCCAAAGGCGGTTGCGCTTGAGCCGCACGTCCGAGGGATTCGAACACTGCCAGGCGCCGGGGTGCAGCAAGTCCGGCACTGCCTGGAACCTAAGCCACGGCTCATTGTTGATTTGCCGCCCTCTACCAAAAGTTCTCAGGAGATCTGCTATGCCACCCTGGAACTCTCAGACGGAGCTCCAAAAAGGTAATTTAACCAGGGCTTGGCACGTACGTGTCCGGGTTCCATTCAGCTTTTGCCAGGGGAAAATCAAATCCAGACCAGTCGCTTGTGCGGTGGTGAACCGGGCCTGGAAAGGTATCAACAATGATGTGTACACATACACAATAATTGTAAGCATAATATTGCTATGATCTGATACTGATTCCCCTCAGTGGGATGACTAGGAAAACAAGAACAAACTGTTCACCGCCCAGGAGAACAAATACCAATATCCCAACTCGTTGAAATGTCTAGCCGACAACTTTATCAGTGCTTAATTTAGTGTACTATGCATGCGAGCGTGTGGCCCTTCTGCCGACAACAGTGCTTTGTAGCTGCAGTAGTTGAAATTATATAAGCCCGAAAAACGTAATAACTGTTGCCAAGCAAAACTGTCACCAAGCAATTCTGGCCCGAACAATTTAATTATGCAGTTCTTCCCAGAGTTTCCCAAGCAACTCAACACCACTGGTAACTTGTGCGAGTTTCTCTGTTTGTTTTGTTGATTCCTTCCCTTGAGGGCCTAGCCTTAATGCTGCCAGCTACAGTGAACCGAGGCTTCATGTTCCCCACGCCTCCTCCCACAGCCGAGAGCCGAGGCGCCAGTCATCCAAGTCTTTCGGATTTGAAAAGGCTCCCGCAGCCATGGCGCCCGCGCAGGGTACTGAAGTTGGAGCCGTTCTGGGCTGTTAATGCTGCTAACGCGCAGGGTTGGCACATTCGACTTTCAACAAAACTCTTGAAACTCGCAACATCCTTGCATGACGCAACGGATTGATCTTGCGGACTGCCTTTTTTTCAGCCCAGAGCGAGTCCAACTTGAATTCCCCCTCAAAACGGCCTGAAGCAAAGGCGCTGCAAGGCGCGAAGCGTTCAATTCACATCTTCGGAAACAGGGGCAAGGCCCGACCAACTGAACCGAGTGTCTGTTTGTAAGACTTAGATATAGTTGTGTTTCACGATATGCGGGGAGTGCTTCGAAGAACAAGCTGCACTACACATACATGCTTAGCTTGCTTGTAGCAACGGGACAATCCAGCTTGCTGTTTGCCTGTATCATTTCGTCTGCAAACTCAAACTCTTAAACACTCAAACTCTTGAAGAAACCAACTCCTGGGAAAGAAAGTGGTTGCAACGTAGACCCTGCGTGTCCATCATTACCATTTGGGGCCAGAAATCACGCGAAGGGTGTTGCCGACGCGCTCCTCCGCATAGCACCAGGCCGCCGTGAAGCGGCGCCGGAAGGGGTCTTGGAACTTGGCGGCCTGCGGTTTTCGCGCGATCAAAATGATATCAGCGGGGCTTTGAGGCAAAAGCTGAATGTTTATCCTCGCCCAGGCCAGTGATTGAGTGACCCTGGTAGAAAAAGGGCCTTGAGGGCAAACCGATTTTCGTGGGGGAGGGACTAAGAGTGCCACTGAACAACTGGGCCATTGAACAACTAGGAAATTGACGCCCTTTTAATGCGAAACCTAAAGAAGTGTCTCAACGCGTTGTTGAAACAGTGGAGCTTGATCCTCCATTCTGTTCGCCCATTCTTCTGAGAAACCAGCCTAATAAAGATGTCTAGAGAGTATGAGGGAAGCGCGGCAAGGAAAATAGGATGAATTTCCGTTGAAGGCTCCATTCCGAAAAAGAAATGGGAAACAACACCTGCAAATGGTGGTTCCTTTTGGGGTATTCGAGTAAAAACCATCAAGACAATGCGGCCCCCGTTATCATTATATTGTTTTCATTTTGTGCCCTCTTCAGGCCAGCTTACAGCGAAACCAACATGACCGCAACCATTTTGGGAGTCCCACAATTTCGACACATACATCAGGTTGTCTGGCGATCTCACCCCAAAAACCTTCCAAAACCTCCCCTGAGTCACACCCCAAAAACCCGCTCCCTCCGCGCTCGGTTTGGCCTCGAAGGCGTTGCCCTCCAGCGCCAGCGCTTTCTGCAGACGTTCCTCCGCGCGCTGGGCGTCCTCCTCCGCGCTGGCCAAGGTGGGCCGCTGGAAGTCCTGCGGTTCGGTCGGCCGGGCTTCCCTCTGCTTCACTTCCGATCCTAAGCGAAAACTCCAAGAGAGATCTTCCAACCGGAGACTCTTCCCTTCCGTTGGGTTCCTCGGAGAATCTGTTTTTTGACCTTGGCAGGGGAGCAACAGTGCAACTTTTAGCAGTTAAGTGGCTGGATTTCAACCACGAAACGATAAGCAAGAATGTAGCATGCTTCCCAACAACCACTATGAATCCTCAGCCTCCAAGACTCCAAGACAGATCTTCCAACCGGAGACTCAGCTGCCGCCCTCAAACAAAAACTTTGGCGCTTCTCGCCCTTTCCCGCCTGTAGCCCGGCCACCAGCGCCCTGGCGTCCAGAAAGGCGTCCAAAGAGGAGCGGTCCTGGAACAGCGGCGGCGCCGGCTCCTGGACAAAAGGGGAATCCATCCCTGAGCCCCTGGGTGAACCATGATTCCATACCTGGAGCTCCTTCTGACCCTTGAAAGATGGTTGGTCATTACCCAAAATAATGGGGTCATTGACCCATTTTTGAAGGGTCACGGAGATGCGGACCACTGTTAGGTGTAAGGCTTCTCGCTCTCTTGGGACCACCCCTCCCATTAACGAACATGGGGTTCATTCATGCTGGATGCGCTTTATCTGAAATCAGCTGGACTTGGACACTTGCATTGCTGGATAAGCGCCCATAACATAATTTTAAGTTCCACACTGTTGTAATGTCTGCCAATGGCTGTTCTGGGGGGGGGGGGGTGCTGAACAATTTTCCCTACGCAGGTGCTGCTGATCAGACGAGGTGGGTCCAAAAATGATCGGCTCCCGTCCTTGAAAGGAAAGTCAGGCCAGCGCGTAGTGAACAGCACATAGGACACCTCAGGACGGATGACATTGTGGTGCGCCTTTTTAGGGATCCCCTTGTTTTTTTTTTTTTTTTGGTTTTTTTTTTGTTTTTTTTTGTGGTTTGTCAAGGCAAACCAAAGAGCAAACGAGCCCATTGGATCGGCTTCCCGGCGCAGGGGTAGAACTTTGGCCCTCGAAAGAATCACAACTCCACCTTGAAAAACAACCGGCTTGGAAGAGTGCAAGGTTTTGAAAAAAGCGAAAGAACCCACCTCTTAGAGGGACTCCCTACACAAAAGCTGGGTGTTCTCTGAGGCTCACCTCACCCACAAGGCTTCCCCCCAGTTCCCTCCCCCAGCCCGCGTGGGCTTCGCTTCGGCTGCGGCGCCTCTGGCGCCCCGCAGCTCTCCAGGCGGAAGAGCTCCGACAAGACGCCCAGCGCGGCGCGCCCCGGGCACGGCGCCAGGCAGAGGCGGCGACCCAACGTCAGGGCCTCCGAGACCAGGTGGGCCTTGCGCGGGGTCACAACCCCCCGCGTTTTGGCTTCCAAGGGGTGGGTTGGCTTGGCGATTTTTGGAGGTTGGGAGCTTGGGAGGTTTTGGGAGGTTTTGGGAGGTTTTGGGGGGTTGGGGGGTTGGGGTCGGGGGAGGTTTGTCAAGGACAACAGGGGTGCATCTCCAAATGAAGTTTCCTCATACGATTCCCCTTTGTCTAGTAGATTCCTCATTGCATCTCTGTGCAGATTCGGGCCCACGGGCACCTGCACCCAAAAGGGTGATGTCCTTATGTCTTGGCACACCAAAACAAATCCCCGGCTGCAAATGCTGAACTTCCACACTGGTCCCACACCTCTCGCCTCAGAGTTCTCAGTGCTTTCCGCGATCAATGGGCGCTGTTGCCTCGCGGCCTCGCAGACTTGCGCCAGCAGCTTCCCTGGCGCTTTGGGCAGGGACGTGTAGTTTCAGTATTTTTTCTTGACATTCGCGATGGAGCCTAAGTCCGATGTCGCCTTTGAGAAAACACTTGAGATTCAAGATGGTGCGCGTACCAAACCAAATGCTGCTTTTCGGATCGGTGGAACTCACCAATGAACTTCCAAACGGCTTGGGGACTTGCAGCATAGGCTTGATCCATTGCTGGAATCCAAGGATACACATCGACTTGCACTGAGGGCCCCTTTCTGGTGAAACTGCAAAAGTGAGACAGGTGTGGCCGTGGGCAGCCACGAAACAAACCACAAATCCGCGTGACAAACCTTCAAGGTTTCTGTTTTTAGTAACCATTCCACCGAAACATGCTTCCAAGCTGGGCTGTGGGGCTTAAAGAGTGTGCGTTCCCTTTGCTTGGGCTTCGATTTGCATCTTGCGGCTTGCGCAGTACCTTCTAAAGGCACCGTCCTTCTGGGCATGTGAGACCAAGTGCCAAGCCGGGCTTTGCGAGTTTTACCCGTGAGCTCGCTCTAAGTTACGCCATCCATGATCGAGTGTGAGCCCACCCGTGCCATGGACATCCATGGGCACGAAGCCTTTTTGGCAGGCCCAAACCCTAAAGAAGCAAAGCAAACCCTCAATGTCCGTCATATCTTCAGACTTATCCGCTAAACTCTGGTCTAAAGGAATACCACCAACCAGTGCCAACCAAAGTCATTTTGCCCCCCTAAGCAACAAACAACAACAACACCCCCTCCCCCCCCCAACAAAATAAACGATGACTTTTTGTATTTTCCTTTTTTAAAGAACAAAATAGAACGCATACAAATATAAATGAATATAAATGAAATAAAGCACGCACACACACACACACACACACACAGAAATCCCCCGAGCCCCGCCTTTGGCGCCCCTCTGGCCGCCTCCCTTGGAGTTGCCCATGCCCAAGCCGCGGCCCATGCGCCGCAGCTCCGCCGCCGGCAGCGCCTGCAGCAGCAGCCGGCCCAGGTTCTCCTGGGCCGAAAGCGGGTACTCTGCATGGTCCTCAAGTAGAGAGGTTAGAAAAATTAGGGATCCTTACATTTTACACCTGCACATTGCCTTGTAAATTGTGGTTTCCCTATATTTTGGTGGAAAAAGCCATGTTTCAAACGGGCAAAATGTATCTTTTAAGGAGCCCTGAATAAGAGGACCAACTTTTTTCAGGACGTCTATTATAGTAGGGGAACCCTCCCCCGAAAAAGGGCAAAATGGCACTACGGGGGGACCTAGTCTACATCTAAAACTTCGTCGCGAAAAAAAAAGGAGCTGCCAACTTTGTCGTCAAAAAATGTGTTTGGGGTTGCTTTCAACGTTGGCTTTAGATTCTTGAAAAGACACGCAACATTTTTTCTCATTGGTTCCCCTTGAAAACAGCCCCAGGGGCTGAAAAACAGGATTATTTTCCCATGGTCATTGAGTGTGGCTGTGTGGCACTCTTAAGATCCAGCCGGTATCTCCTTCCGAAAACTGCTGCCTTTGACGGGCGAGATAGTTGTCTCTAACCGACGTGAGTTAATTCTGGTGTCTTCCAGAGTTTTCTAGCCAATACTGGTCCCTTGCTAAAAGCAAACGCGTCAAACTGAGCAGCGGGTATTGCCAACAAGTACAAGCCAAATGCGCCCTCGTGAAGGAAACTGATACTGGTCAATTCTCGCGTGCCCTGCTCGATGTTTCCAATTGAAAGATAGGACCAGGGAAGTGCAGGGCCGATTTCCGGAAATACAAACCCTAACTTGCGCAGAGGAAGGAAGTAGAAGCCCACGGGTAAGGACAAAGCCGACCCTCGCAAGGTACACAAAGGAATGGCTGCACTTGCACAGGCCAACAGCCGGACGCCACTAATTCGCCGCTTACACCTACCATAGACGGCCACGCGCTGACAAAAATACAAATCAAGTGCCTAGCCTCTACCCTCACGCTCGCATACAACAAAAAGGTAGCACAATGCAACATAAAGTCTTCTCTAACCAATGTTGACAAACAAGCACCTGAGGCCCAATTGATACAAACAAAAATGCTCAGTTGTATTTTTGGATTTCGAGCGCTTCTCTTTGCCCGATTCGAAACGAACAGTTTGTAGATGGCGTGGCCCGAAATGCGCGCCGCGTTTCGAGCGCAACTCGGCGCAACTTCGGGCGCAACTTCGGGCGCAATTTCGCGCAACTCGGGCGCAAATCCGGGCAACCGAGCACAATTTCAACAACTGCCCAAATTCTGGTCACTACACTAGCGCCAAGTCGCTGGCTCCCGGAAACGTTTCGGGCACTTTTTTGCCAAAAATATCCGAGCACAAATTTCTGTATCAATTGGGCCTCCAGGCATCAAACGCAACCCACCTGCAACACCACAAGATAGGGCATCTCACAAAACGAGTGGTTCGTTTCAGCTCCCCCTTGAAGAACCTCCCAAAAGTACCAACTTTCAAAAAAACATGCAACAAAGTGATGGGGTTACAACTCCCTACATGGGCAAACGTCACCAGCCCCCTTCTGACTACTGTTTTTTATGATATCTTCGTACCTACCATCTATTTGGCGGAAGTTCCGAAAATGAAGTCAAAGACTGTAGATCCCCGATCTACGGTTGTTTCACGTTCTTTCCCAAACCGTAAAAGACGAGCTTATATCCCTACCCCTTCCCAAGCCCACGGGGTGACACGCAGGCGACACGGGGTGACACGCAGGTGACACGGACACGGGGGCGACACAGAGGCCACGGGGGCGACCTGCGGGGGCACGCAGCGACACGGGGCGAAACGGGGTGACACGCAAGAACTATACAGTTGTTCGCAGCGATCTGCTGTTGTTCCAGCATAATGACACGTGGGCGACACGGGGTCGACACGGACACGCAGGTGACACGGGGTGGCGCAAGTGACACGGGGTGACACGCGAGTGACACAGGGTGACACGCGGGTGACACGCTGTGAGGCGCTTGCTGCACTTGCTGCCACCCCTGGCAGTAGTTAGACTAAGACTATGGGCATCCCGCAAATAAAATAAGTAACAGTAGTTTTAGTTTGTCTAACTACGGTCTCTTTTGCGAAAATTCTATCTACTGCCCCCTGGGCAGTAGTTGGAGGGTGCTGGCATGGTTCCTGTTCATTCGATCTTTTACAATGGCAAAATCCCTCAAGGAGTTTATGAATCCCAGGTAAAGGTTTTTTTTTTGACCACGGCACCCTTTTCCGTGATACAAAAACCGCTTCATTCCAATGACTTTAATTGAAAAAGGGGTTCTGTGGTATCGCAGGACGTGGCCCAACCATGGCCCCATGGGTTGGCCTTATTTCCAACCATGCAGAAGGGAGCCATAGATCCCATGAGCAGGCAATAGGACCTGCAACCCACAATGCACGCAGGTCGATCGCGCCATGTGGTCAAAGGCCAAGTCAGGTCTGTCAGGTCCTCCTTCGTTGGCAGCGGGGTCTGCAGCAAGCTGGCCGCGGTCTCCGACGCAGTGTCCAGCAGCCAGGGCGAGGGGTCCTCCCGAGTGGCCAGACTCCCAGTCAGGGATGCTCGCCAGATCTGGGGACCACTGAATTCTAGCCACCAAAAAAAGGGGGAACAGGGTGCCATTGAACGACTAGAAACTGGAGCCAACCCTCGCGATGAGGTTACATTCAGGGAATATCGATCAGGGTGCAAGCGTGTCCCCCTTCACTACGGGATAGTCCCTTCACACCCAGAATTCGCTTCAAAGCATTTGGCAAACCGAGCTAAACCAGGGTATGGACACCTTGTTGCGTGACTCTCCGCCAGACTCCGGGGCCCTCACATGTCCTTTTTTGGTGGCTTAATTTTGTTAGATTGAGATATGCTTGAGCGGGTGGTGGTTGAAGGTTGTGCATGACAACCTCGTACATGTTTGGTGCCAGCGGAGCTCCCAACAACTTAATCTTCCTTGAGGCGACGGGCATTGGGGCATCATTCCTGTGCGGCTTACACTCCTCGTCTGAACAACCATGGACGTGAATTCAAGATGTGTGATGGAAGTTCTGCTGCACCTGGTCTTGAAACTTATGGATGAGATGGCAAAACTCTGCAAACTGTTCGATGCATAATTACCTTTGACAAAATAATTCTCCAAAGAGCGTCTCGGTGCTAGCTTGAATGCCAGCTGCATAATGCACAATCTCACCTATACGGTGCAATTACATTCCCCCTTCAATAAGTTGGAAGTTGTGAGGAAGGTTAAAATAACGAATATGCCACAGGAGGTGCACAAATGCAAACCACCTGGAAATTGAAGGACCCCTCCTCCTGATCCGCCGGGAGCTCTGCTAGGTACCGGCTCCAGTCACCTCGGTTGATGGAAGCCCAGGATGAAGAAAACCCTCGGTGATTTATGGCACGGCCCTTCACTTTGGGGGAAGGCCCCCCCCGTTTCAACCCACCCAGTTGATGAATCTGCGGTCGACTTGTCTACATTCTTTCTATCAGCCATGGAAGCTGACAGAAAATTGAAAACCGGACATGTGGGATCCTGAAGTGAAGGACCTTCATCATGGTGAGTGGTGAGCGCATTTTGCATCCAGTGGAGCTTGCCATGAAGGCAGGTGTTGGAGAAAAGGGTAACCCTGGAGTATTCCACAGTCCCAGTGGCATCAACGAGCGACCACAAGCCCAGGGTTACTTCCTTTGATCTGCACGGTTTGCTAGGGTACCATCAACATTTGCCTCTTGATGCGCGCTTTGAGAAAATTAGGGCCTCCATGAGTGTTTCTACTTTTCGGCGCCCCCCCTATGCGCCCCGTCCCTCTTTCCCAAGCAAGCAGGGTCTAAGTGTTTAGGGGCCATTTGGGGCCTACGTTGGTTCCCACCCTTCGCCACGCCGCTTCCCTCGCCGGGAACCTCCGATCTCACCGAAGTCCCCGCCAGCTCGGCAGCGGCCGCCTGCGCCTCTGCTACTCCCAGCTCGCGATACCTGGCGCACCCTGACTCGCTGAAACGACTACCAGCGCTACATGCTGACTCCCAACCTGCTGTTAGAGTCCAGAGTGCCAAGCATGACAACACCAAACCAGGCGTCAGGATCCAGCAAAGCCATGGCCCCGAGAGGACACAGCCGTTCATTGCCAGGTGATTCGCCCTTGGCGCTCGTTTCTTTGGGGTGGCCTGCCCCATCACCTGCCGGATCTCGCCAGTCGATCCCGCGCCTGGCGCCCAGGTTGTCCATGGGCACCCACTGCGGCCATTTCCGCGTGAGCAGCCGAGCCAGGAGCTGACGCGCCGGCAGCGAGAGCCGCCTCGGGACTTCGGTCGGCCGCACTTTGGGCCCCGAGGAATTCGATCGGTGGAAACGGTTCTCCGCACTGATGGCATACGGTGTCCCTTCAAACCACCATTCAAAAGGTTAGTTTTGAGGATGTGGGGGGACGGGTGCCAGCACAGTGGAAGAGGCAACTAGAAGATTGAGGATGTTTGAGGGCGTGGGCACTGGGCAATGGCATGGAGTAACGCAATGTTACTGGGACAGTACTAAGACCTAGCCAAGGATTCAACTTGAAGCGGTCCAAATCTTGCCGCGTACCACCGGGTCCGCTCAAGCAGCCCTGTTGGGGTACCTCAAACACGTCTCGCTGAGGGGGTGGGGACGCTGGAGCTCACTGAGTGCAAAAGCTTGCTGTTTTCCAGTGGCGCCCTCTTCTTGGACAAAGCGGACGTTTTCAGCTGCTCACTCGTGGGAACCAGCTGAACAACTGGGAGTGGCCTTGCGCGGAGGGTTGCAAATGTGGCTTACAGAACTAGGTTCAATGAACCGCCCGTTCGCTGTTCAAAATGGAGGCTCGTCCAAATTTGGTTTCCTCAGCCCATGGAAAATGATAGGGTACCCTTTTCACAATCCAAGTAGGGATTGCCTTTCAGCAGGCCGGCCCTGACACGGTGGGTCAACCCGGCTGTGTGATTTCCTGCCCATGAAAATGGCGAGGAACTGGAATTGGATGAACATGCATGAGGATTGGGGCGGCCCGCCCAAACATGAACAGCAGTCTGCTGTCTTTGCAGCCAGGCGGATTCAAACTGCCGGTCGGCCACCATCAACCGCCTACCAACTCTAAGGGCTCAACTGCGTGGCCCTGGAGGGATCAATATGCTGTGATTGCATACGCAGGCCATAATCGAAATCAAACAACTAATCGATAAAATGCAAAACAAAAGCATAGACACACTATTGATTTTTTACATTTGAATTCAAAGCCCACTAAAAGCATTTAGCAGAAGCAGTATGGCTCCCCTCACGTGGGGGAAGCCGCGGCGCGTGAAGTTTCGCAGTGCCGCCACCTCCTTCGGCGTGAGCAGCTGGCCGTACCGCGGCAACGCCCGGTCCAGGACGCGATGCCTCGCTTCGGGAAAACCGCGAAAAAGGGGCCCTTTTGTTGACATGGGGGCGAAGTAGCTCGGGGGGGGGGGGCGCGCCATCCTGCACCAGTGGTTTATCCCAGTATTCACCATCCACAGTACGTTTAATCATCGAAAACGGAAACAAAGGCCTCAAGGAAAATATGCAGTAAACACACAGGATGGTCGGGGCCATTTCTCAAAACCCCTTACTAGGTTTTGAAAGGACCTGTCTTTCCATTGAGGATCCCTTTACATGGGTGTTTGCCTTTGGTTTTTCGTTTGAACCACCCCAAATTCGGTACCCTCAAGAAAAGCACACCCAATATGCACGCTATTGGCAGCAAGGTTGATATTCGTAGGGGTACCGCTTCTTGGCGCCAATGTTCGCTACATCCTGCCCCCAAGTGACATGTGGGCGCCAAGAGCCTAAGCAAATGACCTATGCAGCCAGGCGGCAGGTCACGCCTCAGCGGAGAAAACAAAACAGCGGCGGCAAAAACTCACAACAACTCACAAGGGTTGAATCCAGGATGAAATGGGTGGGTTCAAACAAACCACAGGTTGTCGATGAAATCAACACGTCACAATGCCTTGGCTTCTGTCATTTCTGCAGCTGTCCAGCGCCCGTGATGTCCCTCTTCTCGTACTTTTCGGGCACTTGTCTAGGGTAGATCCTATTGCGTGACATAAAGACGTCACCTGTGAAGGTTTGTTGGGGATGGTCCCACTAAAACATTGCCTGCTCGTTTGTTTCGTTGTTTCTCTTTTTGGGCGGGGAGGTGCCTTCCATGATCTGGGTCCATTTAAAGTATTCTATGCTCAACCAGGAGATTAATTCTCGATTAAGTTCCTGGTAGTTCTTGTCTTTAACTTGCTTTTCCTAGCTCTCAATGTGTTTTCTTGAAGTCGCCTAAAACTGCTAAAGCTCATATTTATCTGATTCGGCACGTGAGATTTCAGAATTGGTCCCTTTTCATGTTTTCCTCGCCCAGAATTACCCGCAAGACGCCCGCAAAGCGCCCGCAGCTCAGAAAAATACATACTTTTTGGTTTGTCGGGGGATGTCGGGGGCCATAGCGCCTAGAAACCACTTAGAACGCCCAACACGCCCCAAAACTACCAGAAAACCAAGACGCCTATAGGAAAAGGTCCGAGAATGAATCTCCACGAAAGTAAATTCCTTCCTCAGACTCATGGCGTTAAAAGAAACCACCTCCAAAAGCACTTTGGAGAACCTCTCAACACTGTCACAACCGTTTTTAAGTGATCGAAATGAAGGCCCTGCTGCTCAGCCCAGCAGCAGGGTGTAGCCTTCGTGGACGGGCTGTGCACCATCTTCGGCCGCACCCTCTTCGGCCGCACCCTCCTCGGACTCTACCTTGACATCTGCTGCTGGTTGGGTTGCCTTGCCCGGGTCCTGCCAGAGACCACGCTGATGCGGGGCAAACAGACGCGAATTGGCACGTCGCCCGATGCGATTGCCATACAAACTGACAAACACTGAAAACAAACACATCTTTGTGGGGAAACCCACGTGGGCCAAGGTCATCACGCATTGCACCAACATAGAGCTCCAGCAACCATGCACGGCTTGCCACCACAAACCCGAGCCATTTTATGGCAAGCCCCCGTGCCTCCACACACGCTGCGGGCTTTCCGAAGCTAAGCCTCAACGGACACTGCCAGAAGTCCATCCAGTTTTGTGGAAACGGCGCCGCTCTCCAACAAGTTGAACAAAAGTCAAAGGCCGAATCGCAAAGTTTGTTTGCAGTACTGACGGAAGTGGACAGGGACCCTTAAAAAAAAGAAGAAGTCCAAAACTGTTCTGTGTCCATGATTGCTGACAAGAAGCTGCCCACTCTTTGGCTGTATTCAAAGGGTGGGCAAAAGCAACCTAGTTCAAAAGGTCCCCCACTTGAAGACATATCCCAAGGATGCGACAAAGAAGAGGCGGCTATTCTTGGCAGCTTGACTTAGGTTTGCTCTGGTAGCTGGCCTGGCAAGACCATCTGCAGATCTAGTTGGTTAAGGAAACTCAACCAAAAGTGACGTGCAAACCCTGTGCAAGGCGCTCGCAGCTTCCCTGAGGCTGGGGCAAGGTCTGTCGCTTCCGCGGAGGCCCCTGCGGAGTCCCTACCCCTGCCATCCAAAAACCTTCTCCCTCCGGGTCGGGCCCCCCCAAATAGCATAATAATTCCGGACGTGTGGCGGAAGCGTCCCGATTTTTTTGTGAGCATCTCTCAATGAACTACGGCAATTGGCGTGTGGTCAAACAGCCTGCACTTCCTAGCAGTGTTGAACAAGAAAGGTTTGTGAATCTCCGGGGCATGCTCAGGGCCAAGTGTTCAAAGATTTCATGCGCTCAGCTTGCCGGATTCGTGGCTGGCCCAAACCAGTTTCACGTGCCGGCTGCTCAAAACACAGAGCTTGCCAAACAACCCAGTGACGATTCAAGGAAGGTCCCACGAAGCCAAAACAGATCAACACATGGCCCGATTCACAACCGGTTCACCATTGACTGGAGTCCTGCGCGGTTTGAGGCTGTGTGCCCAATCGCCCCATGCAAAGGGGCGAAATCCCCTTTGCAAAGCTGTCATGCAAAGTGGCGGGTTTTGCCCAATCGCTCTCTAAAAGCCGGGGTCCGGGAATTTTCAGGATGGCATCCCCTGATTTTCGTGTCAGCTGGCCTGTTCACAACCCGAAAAGGAGGCACCATTCGGGGATCAGGACCCTGTAATGGATTTTCAGGAAGGCAAAAGGGTACCCTCAAAAGCAAACAGCTCCAGTCTGTCCTCACGCCCCCAAATTGGAACTCCTTGGCCTTCCGCGTGCCATTCCGGCCTCCACTTTCTGCGAGCTTGAGCACGGCCGACTATCTGCCCTCGCCTGAAGCTCAGAACCGGGAAGACCGAAGACGGACATCCTTGGAGGGGAACGCCCCATGAACTTCATAGCCGAATCGGAGCTCTGATGGTTTGCCAAAGGCTTTCTAGAAACGAGCGAGGAAAGTAGGTAAGCAAGCCAGCACACGAAACTAGACAACATCTTTAGAAGCTTCTTTGCCGATCCAGGCAGTCTGAAGCAATGATCAATGCATGCCTTCACAAACTGTTGCCCATGGTTGAACCATGAGGAGCGATCAGCAATGTCGCACACCTTGAGGTCCGCACTGTTGACTTGGGAGTGACCTCAGGATTCTGCAGGGTCGCACGAGCTTCACGGGTAGAAAAAATCCAGCAGCCTAGAATGGTTTCCAACCTGCGCTTCAAGCAAAGAAGCTCAAGTGAATTTGCAGGTTTTGAGGGAGACCTTCGTAGCCGACACTAACAAACAAATCATGTACCAGAAAGCCTCTTAAATGCTGAAGGCATGTCAAGGAATCTCCACAAACATGGGAGCAAGGAAGCGAGCCTTCAAGAAAGTGCCTGTGGAAAAAGTTCGGCCACATGGCCCCTTGCTTTTCCCTCATACGTGGCCCAACAAACTGTCCAGAGCTTGCAGCAGAGCTTGCAAAATCCTGGCCTGACCTGAAGCGAGACGTTGCCGCCAAAAGCGGCCGACAAAGAAGTGGAACGCAGTGCCCAATCTGCAATCCACAAATAGCGATGTTGACCCAGTCGCATACCCTGCCTGAACTTAGTAGAATATGAAACCCCAAAACAGGGTTTCGCCCCAAATGGGATTTCCTGTACGGCTGTTTGGGGCAGGTTCATACGAATTTGGATACCATCCTTCTGGCACCCAATTTATCGATTCATGAGATCAGGCCCTGGCCACTACGGCGTCATAGCTGCGCTTTCTTGGCCCGGGCTCGCCTGTCAGCATAGAGGGTGCCAAGGAAACGGCGAGTAGGACACATCTCTGGGCTTATTTCCAGGGCGGGCACTCAACATGCGTGTTTCGATTTGCTCGTTTCCTCTTTCAACCCCAAAAAGTGAAACGTTTAGCTGGGTTATTCACCAACCTACAATCAAACATGGATCCACGAGAAAGGAAGCTTCACCAAGGCTGAGGCCGCACACCCCACTTAAGTCGCTACAACTTGCTGCAAAACGTGCCGGATTTTGTTGGCAGAGCGGTCCGGAGTAAGAACTCCACTGGAATCCATTTCGGCACTGCAAACGTGGAGCATACTGCTTTGCCAGGCAAAGGGAACAACGGCCATCTCTTTCTGGCCAAGTTTGAAGGAAAACCCGATAGCACCAGTCGGCCCTTGGGCAACAACCGGATTCCAGAAAATAAATTAGCCGGTCCTCCCAGGCATACCCCTGACCACAACTTTTGAGCATCCCCAAACCTTTTGTGAAACACATCTTCCAGGGGGATGCTCATGGAGGCTCCGTCCAGCCCCGCGACAACCGCACCGAGCGCTTCATCGAAGGCGCCTTCCTCATCCGAATCTGCCACGTAGCCCAGGTCGAAGGCCATTTCGCCATGCTGAGTCCCAAGACTCAGAACTTTTGGGAGAGGTTCTACGGATGCCCCTGAAATTGTGGTATTCCTTTGGTTTCCCTTTGAGCCAAAGTGAAAGGAGGGTCAAAATATACACACCCATATAAACTCAAGCTCCTGCGTGTGTAAACAAAATATGTGTCTAGTTTGGTGTGATGCCTGCCTGCGCCAGTGCCAGTGAGGCTCGCTTCCAGCTTACACTTTGGTCCCGCCATTCGTTTGCTTGGAGCTGGGGCTGGTGAAAGTTACACGCATTGCTAGTTTCCCCAGGAGGACATCGAACTTGTGGGTTCCCTTTCGTTAACAATTTTTGTCGGCTCCCGCTTTATTTGTTTGGGGGGGACAATTTAACAAGCACCTCCCATGACTGCAAATGAGCCATGGGCAAATCAGAAGATTTGGCCAAACCTCATGTCCTCTAAACCCACCTCCAGCCCCATGAGCTGCGCGAGCGTGGGCATGTGCGAAAACAAAGAAAAGTGCGCAGGTCTGCAGCCACTGGATAACTCGGCAAACCCTATGCAAGGTTCCAAAAGCAGTGTTTTCTCCCCCCCCCCCCCCCCAAACGTGCCTCCATCGCCATCGTCATCATCATCATCATCATCATCATCATCATCATCAGATTA